TTAATTAGATATATCTACTCAATCTTGAAGAGCCATAATAGATTTATTTGTGTTAGGATTTACAATTTCTATCTTATTTTTATTTTTATTTAAATCGTGATTTTTAATTTTTGCAAAAATTGGTTCACTTAATACATTACTACACAACTCCATCACCAAATTTTTGGCACAAAAATTTAATTCATTTTTAGGTTTGAAATATAATATGAATAAATTTTTGTCATGTTTTCTAATCATGAAATTTAAAGTTTTATATGACATTCTTTAGTGAACCATTTCAAAATAGAGAAGTTTCGTTCACAGTTGGTTTAGAAATATATAATAGCAAATATAGTTTGTGCTAGGGTTTGTAAATATTTGTATTCATCTTTAACAATTCCTTATCACATAGAAGATATTAAACTAGCTTAGCTTTTGCATTGTATTTAATTAACTACCCTACTAATTCACGATATTCTTTTTCACTATAATATAAATTTTTATAATAGTCAACTACTAATTCACAAATCTTATAGAATTTTTCTTTTTGTAGACCATGATTTTAGTAAGTTGGATAAAAAAATAAGTTAAAACATAAGAAGAAATATCAAATTGTTGATAATAAAAATTAAATACTACAATAACTAAAGAACAAAAATTGTTACTAGTAGATATTCTATTAAAAGTAGTAGCTAATTATATACAGTCAATCCTTTCTAAATGCGAGACGTTGAGACCATAGTAAAAAATTTTAAAATATGTATTTAGAGAGGTTATATATTTAGAAAGATAAAAATCTATAAGTGTTATATTAGTTAGGCCCAAAAAAAGATATGTATTTAGAGGGGTTTTTCATATATATGCATTTAGAGAGGTTGCATTTAGAGAGGTCTGACTGTAATCTCTAAAAACAATTAGCCAAACTTGCTGTATGATTTTTAAGTAAAGTGATTACTTGTTTAATTGGCTCAAAAATTAAAGCTATTCTTTTACATGAAATATAAAAAGTACTATTTTCGTTATTTGCAATTTCAGATACTTCTTGATTAGTAAATATATCTGGTTGTTCTTCAAGGATCTGGATCAAAAAAAATTATTATTTATAGTTTTGAAATAAACCTATCAAGCAAAAATATATAGCAAAACACCTATATTAGATCTTTGCTAAGAAAATAACCCTCTGAGGTTATGTTGATTTTATAAATAAAATTAAATTTGCTAATCATCTAGTTATCAAATTTGAATGAACTTTTTTTTTAAAAAAGTTCATTCAAATTAGATAACTAGATGGTTAGCAAATTTAATTTTTATTTACAAAATCAACATAACCTCGGAAGGTCATTTTTTTAGCAAAAATATATATCTATTAGATACCCATTGGTATTATTTAGCTTACATATTTTTACTTAAAAATTATATTAATATAACTTTATCAATTGCAGATCTAACTTGTACAATAGAATTTGTTATATTATAAATAGATACTTAATGGGTTTCATAATATATTTCCAAAGAACCATCTTTTATATTTATTGATGAAATAGTATTTCACAAAATTCAATTTGCTAAATGAGATTTTTGAAAGAACGAAACTAACATATTAGCCTTTTTTAAAATTCCTTTAACTAATATATTTTTTACAAAATTAGTTGTTAATAGATTTAGTGAATGTGTAATACAGTGAATATTTAAGATATGAGAGTAATTATTATGAATATTTTGTTATACAATATGAATATTCAATCTATTATCTGTTACAATTACTAAAAATGGTGAGAGCCAATTTTTTCAATAATTTCAGAAATTTTATTAGTAATAAAATTTTCTGTTTGGTGTTTTTTGAATAATCAGCTATAGTATAAAGATATTTATGATGGCTTGGAGTTGTAATAATACAATTATAAATTGAGTCATCTATTGGAGAAGACCAGCTATTAAGTGCTATAATAAAATTAATAAGTATTTATTATTATATATTCTAGTCAAAAGATAACAAGCTAGATACAAATCAGATATCTGATTTGTATTTAGTTTGTTATCTTTTAACTAGTGATAAGAATTATTAAAAATGAATATTTATATAAAGTTAAATTATCTGTTTTTTGTAGTTTTGCTTCTATTTTAACAACAACTTGTGCAATTTTTCTATTAAAAATAGGATCTGAAAGAGTATTTTTATATGGTGGTGTGTAACTAGATTATAAAAGCACTAAAAAATCTTAAAAATATAGATTATTAATAATTACAAATAGAATTCTGCAGTGTAATGTAACGTTATTAGACCTTTGGTTAACAAGTCACACTACTTGACTAAGTGTTTGAGTAGTTAAGAAATGTGTTTTTATAATTTTATAACAGAAAATAACTTTTAAACAAAATAAAATATTGTCAACTTATTGCCAATGTGATATCAACAAAAAAAAGGTTATAACCAACAGATTTTATACTAAAGACAGATTTTATTAATTCAAAAGATACTCAAAAGAATAACACAGATAAAACAATATTATAACTCAAGAAAAGTATAATAATTCTAAGAAAAATATCACAAATATAACAAAAAAACAAAAAGAGATAATATTATTATATAAAGAAAAAAATAAGAATAACCCAAGTTTCAAAACAAAAATTATAAGCAAAATATTAAAAATATAAGGTTATAACAACCAGAATATATAAACCAACTGTTCCTGTGCCTTAGAGAAAGTAGAGGAGTTTAAATATCTTTTTTCAGAATATTAAATTACTATAGAAACATAGTAATTTATTAAGGAAAGACATCTTTTATTAA